CAGCCTGGTTCGCAATCTCATCCTCCATGCCAGCTCCTCATGCACGTGTTCCTTCAAATCCATTCCAAGCCGTACCATATGTGAGATGCTCGGGATGTCTTACTGAACAAAATAACACCCTTGTTTCCAGGGATCGTACATTTCAGCGATAGAAAATAGAGGAAGGGGATAGAGGTATAAACAGATAAATATGCAGCCTTTGTGGTGGTTAATGCTCTGAAGATAAATAAAGCCAGGTTAAGTGGACAGTGAGTAATGGAGATATGCATGGGAGGGCAGAGAAGGCTATCCAAGAAGGGTACACTGGAGAATTAGCCATGTGTGAGCAAATCTGGGGATACCTGGGGGAAAAGCAAGCTAAGCTGAGTGGTCCAAAAACGCAAAGGTCCTGAGATGGGGGCATGCTTGGAAAATGGAGGAAACTAAGTGAAGCAGAATATGGTAGGACATGGGACTACAGAGGTAGGCAGGCCAAGATTATAATTGACCTTGTAGACAATGGTCAGTAATTCATATATTTATTATTTGGAGAGAGATGGGAAACCACTGGAGGGCCTGGAGCAGAGGTGCAGCTTGATCTGACTTAGGTTTTGATGGGAATCACTCTGACTACTCTGTAAAAAATGACCTGTATGTGGGGCGAGGGTAGAAGCAGGGAGGCCAGTGAGAAGACCATGGCCATAGGCTAGGTGAGAAATGACGATGGCTCAGATCAGGGTGAAGGGGGAGGAAATGGTCAGCAGTGGTCAGACTCCAGGCACATTTTGAAGAAGGAACCAACAGGATTAGCTGAGGGCTTGGATGTGGGTGTAAGGCTTGGGTCTTACCAAATGAAAGGAGAGATTTGCTGTTTACTGAGATAAGAAGGACTGGGAAGGGGTAGATGTGAGAAGGATAATAAGAGTTCAGTTTTGGACATGTTAAGTTTGAGATGCCTACTTAACATCCAAGTGGAGATCGCCCTTGGTTACTAAAATATTAGTGTGGTTGACTTCATACAAAGGATCAGAGTAGGCAAATTCAAAAGCTCTCGGGCACCAGGCAGGGAAAATAAATAAGTACTGAATTACAACAAGAAGAGGTAGGGATTGTGGCTAATCAGAGGGTAAATGCCCATCTAAAGGGAAGCTGCTCATGAGCCCAATCTACTACTGCCATCTGGAATCTAGGTCCAGTGTTCCTATATCTTCCAATTTCTTAATAGAAAGAAGAATCTGGAATTTGAACAACCAAATCTTAGGGTAAAAAATTCTACAATCTACTAAATTCTAGAAGTGCTCTAGAAGTTAAATAAAGTTCTAACTGCAGGATTTATCAGTGTCCTTAATTTATTAATGCACGTTGCAAAAAGAGATTGTATTTAGCATTTTTCTAACTTACCTGATGTTGCATGAATCCTCTCTTCATGCAACATCTCAAGGGACAAGCTTTCCTTGGTACATATTTTGGGAAATGCTTGTTTATGCATAAGTCCTAATCAACTTCTTTATATCCTCTTTGAATTTCAGTACTTATATTTCTTGCAGCTTATGAGTCATAGTTGATCACACACACACACACACACACACACACACACACACACACATAGCCATTTTGTTAGATGTTATAACATCTACTATCAGAGTTGATCGAAACATAAATACAGCATTTACTAAAGTCTTCAAACTTATTAAATACTAAATAGAGTCTTGACGTTCTAGTTGATGAAGAAACACTTAAGTGAAATCACAAGGGCACTGAATCACTTCACCTCTCAACTCCTCTCCTTCCTTCACCTGCTGTATTACATAATTTAGTGACAGGAAGGACAGCCAGTTGCCACAATGCACTTGACATTCTTTGTTTTCCTTATCTATGAGGAAGGAAGGAGGGAGAGGACAAATAAATCTGGAATGGAAAATTTGTAATCAAAAGACAACACTAATATTATTATAGGTCTTTAAAAATAACCTCTAGAATATATTTAAATATTTGAGGTGCAAGTCTTGTCTGTGAAGAATTGGAGTGCATAGGCTTTTTAAAAGACCTCACAATACAGCTGAGATCAGCACATGAAAAGATACACAATATAAAATGTCAAATGTCAAAAAGTTCTATAAAAGTTCAGAGAAGGAAGAGGGCAATGTGGGTTTGAGTGACCAGTGCAAGTGTCACATGAGCTGGTCCTTGAAGCACAGGGAGGTATCAGGTCGAGAGCAGGATGGTGGGAATTCCATGCTGGAAAGACAAGGGTAGAAACACAGATAAGGCAGTTTTAGGAACCATGAGCAGACAAGACTGTGTAGGTTTGGAGGAAAATGCAATACTGAGGCTGGATCAGATGGCAGTCACTGAATACCAAGTAAAAAAAATCTGGCCTTAATTGTGTAGGTAACTGAGCGCCTTTGAAGGCTTCTGAGCGCGAACCTGCCATATTAAGGAAGTTCTATCTTGTCAGGTCAGAGGGGATACGGTGAGGCAAGAGCAGAATCCTGGGTTGAAATGATGCGAGTCTGGACTAGGGAGTGAACAGTGGGAATAGAAAGAAATTATGATATTATGAGGGAGGAAATAACCAATAGGACTTGTTAATCTATTGAATGTGAGAGAGGCAAAGGAGAGGAATAACTTTTACCCTGGGTCAATAACAGAATGATTATCCCAGTAGCAAATTGGTTTATACATATTGATTTAAGGTGCCAGTGTTATATCTAAGTAGAAATGCTCAATCAATTAATTAGTGCTCTAGGACTAGAGCTTGGGAATGGCAGGCAAATAACATGCTTTAAGGTACCACTGTATTCTCAGCTATGTGCTAGATCCTTTACCTACATGGTCAATTTTAGAGAGAAATAAGGATGGACTTTAAAATGTGGCACCATCTGCATAGATGTCAGTCAAATCAGGAGAATGGTAACATTCAATGAAGACTACTTTATCACAGTTTTCCTATGTCCTTTCACTATGAGAACAGCCACCACACAAAAATAGACGCATATAAAAAACACTGCATCATATCATGTCACAGGATCACTCAAAATTTCTGATTTCTATTAATGGTTGATTTAGGAAGTGATTGAGACAGGGAAAGCAAAACAGAACTGTAATTGTTCTTTGTTCTTCTTTCCCTTGAGGGAAATGAACAGACACAAAACTGGTGGCAGGAAGGAACCAGAGGAGAAAGTATTTGGGAGAGTTTCCACCTGCTAAGATAAACAGGAATGAAAGCAAACTCTCTCTTTAAACAATAATAACCATTTGAACACTGTCTCTTAGTTTTCTAAAATTCATTGTCAGTTTTTTACGAACATGTTACTTTATTCTCGTCATAAAACTTTCCATTCACAAGCCAGCTTGGAGTCACACATTCCACCTTCAAACTCCCTCCAGCAGACCAGGGTCTCAGTTTCTTGTTTTGCATGCTAGCCTTGGAGCTCAGGTGCAACAGGCAGATCAACAGTGCATGACAGATGTTGCTATAGCAGTCATCAGTCTTTTCCATTTGCCATAATTCTCCAGGGTGAGCTAGGTCAATCCTTTCCTTCTCTCAGCTGCCAGGAAGGCCGTGCTGCTTAAAATGTCTCTCCATTTAAATATCCAGGGCAAGGGGAAAATGGAAAAGCCATTGCAAGAAAGGACAGAGGAGCAAGTGAAGGGTAGGCTCCAATTGCAAACTTGGAAAGTACCTTCTTAAAATGCAGTAGTTATTTAATATAAATATGTTTTCATTCATGGTATTCTTACTTTCCCCTATTCTACAAATACAATGCAATAAAGATTATAAATGTGTATAATCACAGATTTAGTTAATAGTATAACTATTTCTAATGAATAGAACACAGATCTCCTCTTTGAACTCCACAACAAAGAACACCAATGTCAAAAATTCCCCAAGACTGGTAGCAAAACTATCTGCCTTAGAATATGTGAAAAATATACACATAAGGAACCATCTATTCTTATAGATTCCCCTGGAATCTATTCCTAGCAATAGAGAGGGAGTGCTGGGAGGGTTTTTAGACTGAGGGTTTCGTACGGAATGTCCCAGAATGCATTCCCACCATTGAGAAGAATGAATTCACATGTAGAGATGGCTGCCTCAAGACCCAAGTCTGTACTATGGACTACTGAATAACTAATATTCATGCTTCTAGAAACCCTCTAGAAACAGGCAATATTCTTTGAAAACCTAAAATGGGGGGAAACCCCTTGCAAGAAGGTTCACTAATTGTCCCCCCAAAGGAAAGTTTTTTTTAAAAAAGTTAACATCACTTGCTTATTGTGAATATCCAGTTACACAAACAAAACTCCTATTATAAAATAATATTATAAAGGCAAATAGTAATACTGAAACAAGTGCTGGACAGAACAACCATCTGTTTTGACAATGAAGAAAATTCAAATGACCAATCTCCATACAACCTTGGCAGTAGAATAGCCACTGAAATAGAAATAAATTAGCTCTGTAGACAAAAATAATTTACAGAATTGGCTCAATGGGAAAAGTAAGCAACAATAATTTACTTCCTCTATGGACTTGAAACATTGTCTGAGCTCTCACTGCCTTTAATTCCCTGATACTACAGTTTTATTCAAAACCTAATTGCTGAAGCTGTTTCCAGATTCTATGAAACACCAATCAGAAACCAGCACTTGGCAGACCGCTGAGAAACTTGTAGGAAGAAGACTTCTGCAGGTTCAGATTCCCCCTCCAGAAATGAGGAGAGGGAGGTCAGAACATTCAAGCTCCAGATGCTGGCTCCTGCCTCCAGGCGTAGACAGTGATGAGAGCGCTCCAGGGCTTCCCCTAGCTACCCTTCCTGTGGTCTGCATTCTAAGACAGGATCCTAAATGACAAGAGCAGCATCTTCATGACATCGCCAGCTATCAAAAAATAGTGAGTTTTCCTGTAGAATTAAAATCTTCACAACAAAACTTCACAATTCATTGACAAACCCCTCATACCCTAATGGTACTGTATTTGCATAAATAACAAAAGGCACTTGATACTCTTCTCTTACCTGTCTCCGGTCCCTTTGGGAGGACGATGAAGTGGAGGCACTTCTATGGGTTGGAGTGGATGTTTTGTGAGCAGGGGATATGCCCTTCTCGTCTGAACTCATTGCTGCAGGTAGAGTCTAGTTGTATGCACTTAAGATCATCCCAATTGTGTCTCAAATTCAGACAAAGAAGTAGGTGAATTTTCAGCTTCAGTCCATTTCATGAATCAGGTTTGACTAGAAAAGAAAAGGCAAATATTGCGGGTGTCCAAAACACCTAAAAGCAAAACAAACAAAAAACTCATGTAAACAATTTTAAAAACAAGTTAAAAATTATTATATTTAGGGAAAAATAAAATGTTAGTGAGAGAAAGAACTCTGACACATTAGGAAATAATATTTCTTCTTCTAGATTTTACAGTGGAGGCTAAAAGTGTTAATATGTATAATAACAAAAGTCTGTCAACAAAGGGAACGGGAAGAAATTATATGGTAAAGTTATATTTTTCCCTTATATTCTCCCTTTTTTAAAGCAGATTACAGTGCTATGTTCTGGATCTTCATACACAACACATCAGTTTCTTCTTCTGCAATTTAATTTCCCCTGTCCAATGGATTACAATAAGTGCTCAGTCCATACTTGTCTTCCGTTTAGTTCAGCCATGTCATGTGTGTGATGGATCAATCCAACACAAGAGAGTCAGTCACAAAAGGCAAAAGGGCTCATGACTTTTGTGCATCATGTGATCTAGCATTGAGGAGGGATCAAGGAATACACATACCCATGGCTCTTTGAACCTCACTTACATATGGCTCTCCACAAACAATAATCAATGGGCTTGTAAGCATCTACAGATTGATAAGTAGGTCCCAGAGCTGGGGTAATGCTTGGAATTGTTTCACGTATCCACAGCCAAGAGCCACTTCATTTTTCACTTGGACTCACATAAGGAAAGTTTGCATAAGTACATGGGCTAAAAACTTGTGTCCAAGAGAAGCATTGTTCAATTCGTGACACAGGTTGCTAAAAAAATTGGTTTTGAAGGTAAGCATGAAATGTACGATGAAAAGCTTACACCTCAATCTGTGACCCAAAAGAGTGACCACTAAAGTGAATTTCATCCTCTTCTAAGAAGATGGAAGACCAATTTATGGCCCCCATTCAATACTCCTTGAAGAAAGCACGGAACACTTGAGTAAGTACTTTAGCACAGGTTGGAAGAGAAAGCTGCTGGTGATGAACAAAAATCAATCTTTAGGCCAAAGAAAAGTGAAACCTGCACTTCAGTCCAGAGGGAGGGACAATCAAAAATTCAAGAAAAAAACAAAAACAAAGGTGCTTGGGTATTATGAGGACACACAGCAAGGGGAACTAACTGGGTCTGGGGGGTCAGAGGTACCCTTGAGCAAAAAGATTTGAGTTGAGCTCTGAAGGCTGATTGGAGTTAACCAGATGCCTGGGTGTCCAGCATGGCATAATCAAGGAATTAGTGCTGGCCAATAGGATCAGAGCACAGAGAAAGAGAGTGCCATGAGGGTCAAAGAAAGGCAAAAGTCAGGCCCAGTAGGGCCTCGTCGGCCATGTTCAGCATTTTGATTTTTATCTTAAGCATAAGAAGCCACAGAGGGGTGTAGTATACATGTAACCAGATATGTGTGTTTAAAAGGATATTTTGGCAGTCATGAGGAGAACCAAATTAGGGAAGTAAAAAAGATGAGGGAGGCCCAATCAGGAAGCAAGAGATGATGGACTAGAGAGGTGGTAGAAAATTGAGCACCTAGTCCTGTCAATTGTGACAGGATGTGGAAGACGACGAAAAGGCAGGGTTGAGAGTGACTCCTAGGTTTCTGGCATTCTGAGCAATGGCTGGCCAAGGGAAATCCAGGATTGAAAGAAGGTCATGAGAATGGTTTTAGACATGCTGCTGTTGAGGTACAAATGAGGCTTTCAAATGAAGACAAACACTTGGAAAGGTGGATTGGAGCTCAGAGAAATTTAGGCTGGATACAAATATTTAACAGATTATGTTATGATACAAATATATTGAGTGATTTATGTATAGATCATGTAATTCTGCACCTGCTATAAATTAAATTTTATACAGGCCTATATAAAATCTGTTAACATTGTGGTAATGGATTATGCAACCCTAAACATGTTAATCATGATTTTAATGGTCACCTGGTTACAGAGAATATTCAAAAGAACAATCCCAATAATTAAAAGGCAAATTATTATAAATTAAGAAAACTGGACATTCTAGTGAATAAAACTTGTCATACTTACTTACGGTTTCAACTTCACTGCCACCACAGGAAACATAAAAGCTACTTATCCCCCAACCTTGAAAGCTTTCTCTTGCAACAAAACTAGTTTTGGGACAAATAGAAATGTAAAGAGCTGTAGAGCTCCTTGGTTGGCTCAAGATGAGGTGTCATTTAGTATTGGCAAAAGGTAGTAATAAGCCAGCACTTGTTAGATAATCATCTAATCCTTTTGTTTTACGAAAGTAGTTTCCTAAGTGTGAGTAAAATTTCTCAAGCCAATCTCTGGTGCCAGCATACAGAAAGCAAGAACACTGCTCAGGTCCTTAATTTGAAATACTTTGCTTTCTGGTCCAAGATGTTCTACAAGTAGATGCTGACACTTGAGCTGAAAGTATGGAGATTCTGTGATATGCTCAAGTGCCCTCATGGGATGAGGCTGATACAACCAAACTCATTAAGCTGTTATCCATTTGGAAGTAAATTCAATCCAAGCTACATCAAGGGCCAGAATTTCCTTCATTGCACTCATTACCGCGCCCCCCCCCCCCTTAACTGCATCTAACCACACTTTCCTGATTAACACCGATGCTAACATCTCGGTTTACACTTTAATTTAAAATGACATTTTCAGGATAGCTTGCCTATGATGAAAGAGCAACATTTTGATGGAATTACTATCATGAATATCTTCAATAATATCAAGAATGAAGAAAAGGTGAGTGAGAGAATTGAATTCATTCCAAAAATTGTCTTTCAGATTATTGTTGTTTCTATTAATTTTTTTATTTTTTTAACAAAAAAGGTTTTAGGCATCTAATACAAGGTTGAATGAGATGACTTTTAAAGATCATGTTAACCTGATTATCAATCAAGTGTTTGATCACCTGCTCCATTTCAAAACACATTACTAAAGTAAGTCTAAATTCTGTTAGTAGGTTGCACCTATGTATTCTTTATTTCTATCGTGTGAAAATGGCTGTGACATGAAAAAAATGTTATTTCATCCCTATCAAAGCATATTTTCAGAAATTGCCTAAATAAAATTCTACACCAAAAACATTACAGATTTTAAAGCCAACACCAACATAATTTTTACTCAATGAGAAAATTATTGTGGCTGAACATAACAGCAATATGAAAGAACATCTAATTTTCCTGTGTCATTTCTCCTTCATATCAATAGGATCACTACAATTGTTTCTACATGCCATAACATGTGCATTTACACTGAGTGACATAAAATGCATGTTTATGACCTAGGGACCTGACTAAAGCAAACAGTGGCAGGGAAGACTTCTAGAACTTGCTGTTCATAGGCATCATAACCTGTATGTGTTCAGAAAAACATTTAAAACTGGGGACTACTTAGTCTAGGCTAAGTTGTGATGTGGTAACACACAATCCCCAAATCTCAAGGGCTTGCAAGAAAGGTTTATTTCTTATCATTTACATGTCCCTTATGGTCTTCTGCAGCCCTACTCTGTGTTCTCTTCATCCAGGCTGAAGGAGCAACCTCCATGTGAAGGAGGAAAAGAGCCATGGCAGCTGGAGCTGGCACATGTCACTTTTGCTCACTTTTTATTGGCCAAAGCAAGTCATGTGGCCAATTTGAGATCACTGATGCATGAAAGTATAATTCTTCCAGAGGAGAGACAGTGAATACCAGGATACAGTAATATAATCTATATTTACCATAAAAAAGATTAAAACTATGGATGAAAATATTTAAATTGACTAATTTCATCACTTAGTAATACCAATGGTTAACATGTTGGTTCTACTTTAACCAAATCAGGAGAATAATGTCTGTACCATCTGCGATATGCTTTCTTCAGTCAACAATATATTGGTAACAGCCTTCCTTATGACTAAAGAAACATCAATATCACTGTTCTTAATCACTACATATAAGGCCAGAACACTGATATACTACAATACATTTACTCATTCTTCTATTAGGACATATAGGTTGTATTCTGTGTATTTTGAAATAATGAGATTTATCACGGAAGAGTTCATAATAATTCTACATTCACTTTTGATTATTATAAAAATGAAATCTATTGATTTCAATACTTTTTTGCTTCATTTGATATCTGTTTTCTTTCTGTTTGCAAGTGATTAATGAGATTTGTCCATCCTTTTTACATTTAAACTTTTTGTATTATTTTGTATTATGTGTTCCTCTAGTAATGAACATGTTGGTTTGTTTAAAAAGATCTAATTTTAGTGAAGTCTTTCCCATTTACACTTAATGTCAGAACTAATAGTTGGCCTTACCACTGCCATATTATATTATACTTTCTATTTTTTTTTGCCTCTCCTTTGTTTCCTTTAATGCTTGGTGACTTTTAAAAAACATAATCTGCCTTTCCTTATGATACTGATTTTATATGGTTTTAATTGACCTTTATATTTGCCATTAATTTCAAACATACAATTTCCCTTTTAAATTCTATTTCTGTTTCCCTTTAAGTTTCTCTAAATCATGCTGGACCCTATAGTCTTTAAGTGACTGAGTCAAGAGTAAAATGGTATCTTTTGAGTCTTTCCTTGCAATGTAAGCACTTCCCCCATCCCCAAATCCAAATATTCTCCTCTCATCCTCTTCTTAACCTTGGTGATTTAATCTGGAGTTTTAGAGAAGTACACTTAGTATTCTAGAGCAACAGAGAGGAGCTGATACCACTTTTTCTGGTTGGGGCCAACCAGAATGTGAGGATAGACTATAAGAAAAGCAAAGTCTTTTCTACCCTTTCTCAAGAGCCTCCTTTTCTGCAAGTGCAGCTGAGGTTTGTCACAATCAAGACTTGACTCAGCGAAGCTCTTCCTCAATTTGAAATATAGCCTTCATTAAATTAGGGTCTAATCCTCCATAGTTTTGACATTTCATTGTTTTAAGTTAGTGTTTGGATTATTGATGGTTTGTCTTTTTCAATATTTACAAGACTATTTATAGAGAACTAGTAGGAGCCACATTAGATGATCCTAGACACAAGCCACTTATTC